GTTTATCCATTCCCACCGGGTCAGTAGAACCATTTCAATTTCATTTTCTTTACATTCTATTTTTCTTCCTGATTTTTCAACAGTAAGTTCCTTGATCTGAGCCTCTACTTACGAATGTTTAGATTGTAAAGGACCTTGGGGGTCATCAAGTCCATCCTTCTGCTTTCCAGGAGAATTCATAACTACAATCTCAGATGGATGAGAATGTGTCAAAAGAAAATGTACAAACATTTCCATTCACAATTTGCAATTTTCTAAAAATGAAAGTAAAAATTAAAACCTCAAAAGAGGAAGGTGCTTTAAAACTGCATTTATCAGCTAAAATTGCTCAAACATAATTCAACTATCAGGCTAAAATTAACACACAGGAAAGTTGTTGGCTGCCAACATAAAGTCTTTATTTAGTCCCTAGAGATGTCTTCTGATGTTTTATTTTATTTGTAAGCACCATTTTACCTTAAGCACATAGCATGACAAACTTAGATCACCACACCAATAAACTATAATTATAAATAGCAATGATATATATATATATATATATATATATATCACCAGGAAAGCCCTGGGCAATAGTTTAATTCTTTGATATGTAACTTAAAATGTTCAGGGAATGATGTTTCTTCCTAAAGGAGTTTCCAAAACAGAATTTCATCTGATGACAAAAAACATACAACTATGAGGAAACACTATTAAATCATTCTAGAATTTTTTTTTTTTTTTTTTAAAGAAAACAGGACCAGGGCTTCCCTGGTGGTGCAGTGGTTGAGAGTCCGCCTGCCGATGCAGGGGACACGGGTTCGTGCCCCGGTCCGGGAAGATCCCACATGCCGTGGAGCGGCTGGGCCCGTGAGCCATGGCCGCTGAGCCTGCACGTCCAGAGCCTGTGCTCCGCAACGGGAGAGGCCACAGCAGTGAGAGGCCTGCGTACCGCAAAAAACAAAAAGAAAGAAAGCAGGACCAGAGGTCTTGGAAGTGGGGAAAAAATAATACTTAGAAAAACCAGGGGCCAGGGAAGGTAGAGTCCAGACACTATATTCTGATGAAATATTGTTTCCCAGGAAGATTATAAAATGAATTATTAAATAAATGGCTTATGAACCACTGGCAAGTAATGCAGTGATCTATAAATACTAGCATAAGAAAGCTAAATAGTAACTCATGTCTAACTTCACTTTCTTCATATGAAATATAGGTTAGGTAATAAAACAGTAGGTGGATTCATAACTGAATTTTACCCAAAAGTTTCATTAATGGATTAATATCAACTTAATGATAGTGTGCTGATATTACATAGCATTGTTCCACCCTTATATATTTTTACCAGTGACCTAAAACAAAAACATAGGTGTCATGTTTATCAAATTTAACTATCAACGACAGAAAGATACGAGGAATGGTTAAGAGGCTAAAAATAACACGCAGATGTAAACTGGTATATAGAGAATGGATAAACAACAAGGTCCTACTGTATAGCACAGGGAAATATATTCAATATCCTGTGATAAGGGACTTCCCTGGTGGTCCACTGGTTAAGACTCTGTGCTCCCAAAGCAGGGGGCCTGGGTTCGATCCCTGGTCAGGGAACTAGATCCTACATGCCGCAACTAAAGATCCTGCATGCCGCAACGAAGATCCCGCATGCCACAACTAAGACCCAGTGCAGCCAAGTAAATAAATATATTTTTTAAAATCCTGTGATAAACCATAATGGAAAAGGATATGAAAAAGAATGTACATATATGTATAACTGAGTTACTTTGCTGTACAGCAGTAATTAACACATTGTAATTCAACTATACTTCAATAAAAAATAAATTTAAAATAAAAGGCTAAATAACATTATCAAGCTAAAACAATAAACCAAAACTAACAAGATGCCAATTACAGGGATAAACACAAATTCCTCAATTAAAATTTAAAAATTAATTATATAAATTAATGTGATCTTAGGCTTTAAGAACAGAGGTATTGAGTGCAGTGAAAAACGAGGCCCTACTCTCCCCTGTACTTTGTATTGATCAGATGATATCTGAAATGTTATATTCAGATCTAGATAAGAAACCCTAAAAACTCAGGCAACTAAGTTGATAAGGAGACTGAACTTTATTAAAAATGTCACTTAAAGAATGGTTGAAAGAACGTGGGATATTTACCCCAGTAAGAGAAGCCTTAACAGAACATAACTGTCATCAAATATTTGAAGGGCTACCATGCTGACAAGGAATTAGCTTTATTTATTGTAGCTTCAGATGGCAGGAGTAAAGAGTTTCACAATGTAAAGAATGTTCTAAAAAGCAGAGCTCCAATAACGGAACAGGGTATCTATGAAGTAGGGACCTCTTCCTTACAGCATTCAGAAGTTAAAAGACCACCCACCAGACATTCCAAAATGATGCATTTTCATACTTCATGAATATATCAATACTTGATCCTAAAATAAGCCTATTAGGGGAAGGCAATATTCAAAATGAGAAGCTTAAAAATTGTTTTATTTGACATGTTTCTAGAGATGGAAGACTTTTTACATGAACTCTAAAAGAGAAATAATGCTTTTTCTTTTTAACTGAATGCTGCGTTTGTTTTTCTCAAAGAAACAACATATGCACCTTAACTTTAGTACCTTTATCAAGGGATAAGAAGCAACTGTATGCCAGCCTGCCAACTAGTTTCAAGAAGAGAGCTGTTTTTATTAGACATGTACATGGCAATGCTATTTGCTCCACCTAAAACTTCCTTCCAAAAAGGCTCCTCCTCATCAGACGTGGAGAGGAGGCTGCTGTAACACTGACTCCTTCCTACTGCAGCCTAGAAAAACTCACTCTTGACATGTACAAAACAATAACTTGTGAGAACTTCAGAGCAGCTGTGTTCAGGCAGAGCCAGGGACTTAAAGCAGCAGCTTGAGAGTAGGATGAAAAAACAAATTTCATTTTGGGTTGGAAGCAGGGAGAGGAAAGATAAAGGAGATATACAATAACGGTCTCTATTAACATTTAAAAGCCATGGTAAACAAAAATGCTTAAAAGTTACAACACTGAAACTATCACAGGATGTAACCTTTGATCCACAAGTTTAAAATGAGCAGTGTTCATCATTCTCTAGCTTTCTGCAAGGTGTTAACACTGAGATAGTGCCCAAGTCAAAGCCATCACAAATTCTAGGATGGAAGAATAAAACAAGGAACTTTGCTCTCTCATTGGATATTTTTTTGTGCTGCTGCCAGGCAAACTGAAAATGTCTGAATATCCAATAACAATGCTCTCAGTGTGAAATACTGGAACCCAATTAAGTAATTAATGCTAAAAGGTCAGTAATTAATTGGTCTCTATGTGCTGCAGGGGTAACCTCCTGGCCAGGAGGACAAATGGCTGCTGAATACCAAAGGTTAATACAAAGTGACATACTCTGGTTTCTCCTCATGTAACACCTTTACCGGTATATTTCAGATGTTATTTTGCTTCCAAAAGTAAGAGGAGAAGAAAAAGAATGTAAAAGACAAATCTACGCAATAGCAAAGAAGTCATTAATTAATTGGCTGTATTAGCTCATTATTAAATAATACACAACTATCAAACAAAGGGCAAAGACTTGTCCCTTTTTTGTACAGAATTAAGAACTGGTAAGACTACTTAGTATAGATGCCAAACTTTTCTTTAGCTTCCTTTCTCACAGACGTGTTACATTTCGCAATAGTCTCCACTTACCTTAAAGTATCCTCCATGTTTAAGTACAAATTGTGTTTGATTTCCCCAACCCTTGCCCCCAAGATATCAATATTATGACTTATCTTTAGCTTCTGAATCGGAACACAAAGGAAGAAACTGAAAATTTTTCACTTTCCTGAAATACGTGCCCATTTTATTTACACCATTTAAAAAAACATAAGCTAACTAAAACTAACTGCAACCATTCATTTAGCAACTCTTCAAGAATACGAGTGGGTAAGAAACACATTTAACAAAACAAACCAGTTTAGTACATTTTTCTGTGCTTAGAATACCTATAAAGACCTATGTCTCTGCAAGAATTATTTATACTACTGAAAAGTTTTTAAAAGTAGGAATCAAGTGAGCTTGTGGAGAAAACTCTGCACACCCCTACAAACCTACACTTACTATGACACAACCCTCAAAGATACTAAAACACCCTCTGATAAGTAGAAAACAAACTTTTACAGTTAGGAAAGCAGCAACGCGGGGATATGGGGAGGAGGTGCCCTGGGTAGTAAACACCCCAGTCACAGAACATAACAAGCAATTCAGAGCAACGTATAACTCCCGATGGAGCTCCAACTTGGCCGCTTAAGTCCCAAGCCCCCATCCCTGAGTTGAGGAAGAGATGAAGTGCAGAACAGGAAGAGAGGGAGAAAGGAAATCTGAGCAGAAGTGATGAAAGTGTTCTATTTTTCTCCTTCTCTACCCCTATCCCAACTTTCTTGCAGGCTGGTCACCAGACTGGGTGCCATATCCACCAAAAGCCCTAAATCCATTTCCCAGGCTTCTTCTGATACCTAGGCTAAACACCTGTACATATGAGCCGTCTCCTAACCAAACACCTCCCCTTACCCTTCTGGATTCCCCCATACCCTTCCCAAAGTGATACCTCTTGGCCACTAGCCCACCTCTATGAAGTCTTCCTAAACTCGTTCACTTAATTTTCTCCATATCCATACTTTCTCTCTGATTATCATGTCCCTGGTCCTCTTTTTTATAATTCAATCGAAATGCCATGCTCTCACTTCCACTTACTCCTCCCTATCTTCCCAGCAAAACCAAATACCATGTTTTCACCTACTCATCCCCACCTCCTGCCTATTACCCCTGACTCTTCTAATGCCAAGCCTCTAACCCCACTCTTTGAAGAAGCTCTGGGTCTTCAACCAGTTTAGTACCCCTACCCTTTCTCCATTCCACCCCATTACAGGATCCACTAGACTTCCATTCCCTCAGGATTCAACTCCCCTCTCCTTGCCACGCCCTGTGCCCCCCGGGGCTACTTACCCCCAAGTTCTCCCCACACTTCAGGCCTCTGGCCCCGCCTTCCCCCCAAAGGAAGGAGGCGGGAGGAAGGAGAGAAGAGGGGCGGCACTCCGCAAGGTAAAGATGACCTCCCATTAGTGCTCGTCGCCGCCAATCGTAACTTCCTTCTCTCTTATTGGTCGGCGTTGGTCCATGCCCCACCCTCTTCCTCAGACAGGGCCCAGCCACCGCCTCAGCGCCCCCGTCCAACACACACTGGGAGGGGAGACCCCGGCCTGGGACACTGGGACTGGCCAGAGTTGATGGGGAGACTCCCGTCAGATCATGGACTAGTTAATATTATCTGGACTCACCCGCTGGTAGCTCCGTCGCCTCCCGCCCGCCCGCGCTCGGTCCCACAATCTGTCTCCAGCTCCTTCTTTCCCCCCCTAAGCGGAGCAGATACTTTTCTCTCGTCCGGCCAGGCGCGCTCACTTCTCGCGAGATATGGAGAGGAGTTGGAGGAAGGGCGAGATCCGCAGGGCCTGAGTCGGAAAGGGGCCGAGGGGCGGGGCTCCGGAAAAAGAAGGGGCTGGACTTTCGGTGGGCAGGGCTAAGGAGGGAGGCTGTAAGAGTTCCTAATCGCTGGTCGCACGTGTTCGGCTGCGGAGTTTAAGGGGAAAAAAAAAAAGAAAAAGGAAGAAAGGGACTCCTTACAGGTGCCTGTAGCAATGGACATCCAAACGGTTCTCATACTAGAGAATTAGATTATCTCAAAGTAGCGCACTTTAAAAACGAGACATGGTTGTACCTCAGTAAAACTTTATTTAAAAAGAGCGGGCTGGGGGGCTTCCCTGGTGGCGCTAGTGGTTGAGAGTCCGCCTGCCGATGCAGGGGACACGGGTTCGTGCCCCGGTCCGGGAAGATACCACGGAGCGGCTGGGCCCGTGAGCCATGGCCACTGAGCCTGCGCGTCCGGAGCCTGTGCTCTGCAACGGGAGAGGCCACAACAGTGAGAGGCCCGCGTACCGCAAAAAAAAAAAAAAAAAAAAAAGAGCGGGGGAATTCCAGTGGTTAGGACTCCGCGCTTCTGCTGCAGGGGGCACGGGTTGGATCCTTGGTCCCAGAACTAAGATCCCGCAAGACGAGCGGCTCCGCCAAAAAACTTTTTTTTTAATTAAAAAAGTGGGGGAAAAACCGAGACAGCTACATAAGATGATTCAGTGTTCCAAACAGTCGAATAGTTGCATTTTCTTCTTTGCTCTTACAGTAGCTTCACTGGCCGTAATCTCTGCTGTGTGTCTGTATATGGGGATGGGGTGTGGTAAAAGTTCAACTGCAGGAACTGGCGACTTTTAAAAAAATGTGTAGGTTGTTTCTATTGTCCTCCAGAGTTATCACTTCCTTAATGGCAAAGTAGTTTGAAATACCCTTAGCCCTAGAACTGAAGTGCATGTATTGGGAAAAACGAGCTCCCAACTCTATCATTTTCTTTGAGTATCTTTACAGTGAGGCCAGCAATCCCATTTTACTCAGAGTTGTAATGATCAAATGAAATAATATGTGTGAAACTTCTTTGGAATTAAAAGGCACTATATTTATTACTCAGTAAGTATTTTAACAAATACTTTGGACATACTACGTGCAAAGAACTGTTCTAGGCATGGGGAGAAGAGTAGACAGACCAGGTCCCTGCTCTGGTAGAATTTATGTTTTAGTGGGAAGGGGGAGACAGTTAATCAACACAAATATTATATATTTCAGTTAGTGAAGAGTGCTGCAGGGTAATGAGACGGAAAGTGACCAAGAGTAGGAAAGCAACTTTACTCCTGGTGCTGAGAGGCCCCTTTGAAGAAATAACGTTTGAACTGTGAGAAGGAGACAGCCTTGGGAAGATTTTCGGTGAAACATCAAATGCAAAGACTGTATTTAAAATTTTCTCATATGGTTACGAAGGTGGTAAATTTTATGTTATGTGTTTTTTTTTGTTTTTTGGTTTTTTTTGCCGTACGCGGGCCTCTCACTGTTGTGGCCTCTCCCGTTGCGGAGCACAGGCTCCGGACGCGCAGGCTCAGTGGCCATGGCTCACGGGCCCAGCTGCTCCGCGGCATGTGGGATCTTCCTGAACCGGGCACGAACCCGTGTCCCCTGCATCGGCAGGCTGACTCTCAACCACTGTGCCACCAGGGAAGCCTTGTTATGTGGTTTTTTTTATCACAACCAAAAAAAAAAACCTTTTAAAATGTTACTGTAAGTATAAGGACAGTTGACTCAAAATATTACCCGTGGAATCGCTTTTCTCTCAGATAACTTCCTTTTGCAGCTTTATATTATTACTCTGCTTTCTGAACTTCCTGCCTAGGATCTCATCTATCCTCATAGCCTCTGAAAGGTGGAAAGAATCCAGGTGATTTCTCCCTAGGTAACAAAGGTGAAACAGAAACATACAATCACTTATGTTCTTGTGAAGTGAATTGAGAAAAGTTGAGAGGAGTCTTGGCTTCCAACCTACTCTCCCCTAAAACAATTCCTACTTAAAAGAATACAATGATAGAAACAGACCTCAGTATATATGGGAGATTTGTATATAACAGAGGTGGCATTACAAATCAGAGAAGAAGGGATTCCACACATTGTGTTAGACCAATTGACTATTACTCTATACATGCAAAATAATTACTATAATAGACAATGTTTATAGGTCTCACTATGTTCCAGGCACCATTCTAAGTGTATTACATGCATTAATTCATTTTTTCCCCGAATGTATATCTCCAATCCATATCTCTCCCCTGAACTGCAGACATATCTCCAGCTGCCTACTTAACAGATCCACCTGGATGTCTGACTGGTATTTCAAACTTACCATGTCCAAAACAAATTCTTCCTTTCTCGCCCACATGTGCCCCTTCCCTAATCTTCCCTATCTTAGTAAAAGTTACCTTCATAGTTCCAGCTGTATTTTTTTTATCGTGATATAATTCACATACCATGAAATTCATCTTTTTTTTTTTTTTGGCTGCACCGCACGGCTTGTGGGATCTCAGTTCCCTGACCAGGGATTGAACCCGGGCCATGGCAGTGAAAGCGCTGAGTTCTAACCACTAGACCACTAGGGAACTCCCCAAATTCATCTTTTTAAAGTGTACGTGTAAATCAACTATACTTCAATAATAAATAAAATAAAAATAAAGTGTACAATTCAGTGATTTTTAGTATATTCACAAAGTTATGCAACTATCACCAATATCTAATTCCAGAACGTCTTCATCACCCCCCAAAGAAGCCCCATATTCACTAGCAGTCACTCCCAATCTACCCCCACCAAACCCTGGCAACCACAAGTCTACTTTCTGATTTTGTGGATTTGCCTATTACAGATATTTTATATAAATGGAATAATATATGTGGCCTTTTGTGGCTTCTTTCACTTACCATAATGTTCAAGGTTCATTCAGGTTGTAACATGTGTCAATCAGTACTTTATTCCTTTCATGGCTGAATAATATTCTATTGAATGAATATACCAATTTTTGTTTATCCATTCATCAGTTGATGGACATTTGGGTTATTCCCACTTTTGAGCTATTATGAATAATGTGACTCTGAACATCCATTTACAAGTTTGTTTTTGTTTTATTTTTTAAATTAATTTTTATTGGAGTATGGTTGCTTTACAATGTTATGTTAGCCTCTACTGCATAACAAAAAAATGAGCCATACGCATACAGATATCCCCTCCCATTTAGGTTACCACAGCGCATTAGGTACAGTTCCCTGTGCTATACAGTATGTTCCCATGGGTTGTCTATTTTATACATAGTATCAATAATGTATATGTATCAATCCCAGTCTCTCAATTCCTCCCATCCCACCCCTTTCCCTCTTGGTATCCATACATTTGTTCTCTATGTCTGTGTCTCTATTTCTTTTTTTATATATAAATTTATTTTATTTTATTTATTTTTGGCTGCATTGGGTCTTCGTTGCTGTGTGAGGGCTTTCTCCAGTTGCGGCAAGTGGGGGCCACTCTTCGTTGCTGTGCATGGGCTTCTCATTGCGGCGGCTTCTCTTGTTGAGGAGCACGGGCTCTAGGTGCGTGGGCTTCAGTAGTTGTGGCACGCGGGCTCAGTAGTTGTTGGCTCGTGGGTTCTAGAGCACAGGCTCAGCAGTTGTGGTGCACGGGCTCAGTTACTCTGCGGCATGTGGGATCCTCCCGGACCAGGGATCAAACCCGTGTCCCCTGCATTGGCAGGCGGATTCTTAACCACTGCACCACCAGGGAGGCCCTGTGTCTCTATTTCTGCTTTGCTATATATCTATACCATTTTTCTAGATTCCACATATATGCATTATTATACGATATTTGCTTTTCGCTTTCTGACTTACTTCACTCTGTACGACACTCTCTAGATCCATCCACGTCTCTACAAATGACCCAATTTCATTCCTTTTTATGGCTGAGTAATATTCCATTGTATATATGTACCACATCTTTATCCATTCCTCTGTTGGTGGACATTTAGGTTGCTTCCATGTCCTGGCTAATGTAAATAGTGCTGCTATGAACATTGGGGTGCATGTGTTTTTTTCAATTATGGTTTTCTCTGGGTATATGCCCAGCAGTGGGATTTCTGGGTCATATGGTAGTTCCATTTTTAGTTTTTTAAGGAACCTCCATACTGTTTTCCATAGTGGCTGAATCAATTTACATTCTCACCTACAAGTTTTTACATAGACATTGTTTTCAATTCTCATGATATATACTGAGGAATGGACTTGCTGAGTCATATGGTAGATCTACGTTTAACTTTTTGAGAAACTGCCAAACTGTTTTCTGAAGCAGTTGCATTATTTTACTCTTACCAGCAATATATGAAGGTCCCAATTTCTCCACATCCTCACACCAACACTTTTATCGCCCATCCTTCTGATTCTAGCCATCCTAGTGGATGTGAAATGGTATCTCATTGTAGTTTTTTTTTTTATTAATTAATTAATTTTTTTTGCTGTGTTGGGTCTTCATTTCTGTGCGAAGGCTTTCTCTAGTTGTGGCAAGCGGGGGCCACTCTTCATCGCGCTGTGTGGGCCTCTCACTATCGCGGCCCCTCTTGTTGTGGAGCACAGGCTCCAGACGCGCAGGCTCAGTAGTTGTGGCTCACGGGACTAGTTGCTCCGCGGCATGTGGGATCTTTCCAGACCAGGGCTCGAACCCGTGTCCCCTGCATTAGCAGGCAGATTCTCAACCACTGTGCCACCAGGGAAGCCCCTCATTGTAGTTTTGAGTTACATTTCCCTGATGCCTAGTAATGTTGA